CATGGACACGCAGAAGGATGACTACAAGTCACACGCTGTCGCAGAAGAAGCAGGTGTCGTGGTAGGAGACTCCATCCCCATCGACGCCGCAGCGGAGCGGTCGGTCGTGCGCAAGCTGGACTTCCGGTATTTCCTCCATCCTCTTGCCTGCTAGAGAAATGCTCATTTGCAGGCTGCTTCCGGTCCTGTCGCTCATGTACTTCTTCAACTCCCTCGACCGCTCCAACCTGGGAAATGCCAAGACAGATGGCCTCGAGAACGATCTTCACCTGGTCGGAAATCAGTATAATGTCATATTGGCTGTCTTCAACGTCACTTTCTGCTTGTTTGACCTGCCGTCCAATTTGATGTTGAAGAAATTTAGCGGAAAGGTGATGCTGCCGACAATGATGATAGGATGGTGGGTTACCTTTCTAGTATATCTGATCCCGCTAACCACAGCCAGGGGTTCCATCACACTGCTGCAATGCGCCGTGTTCAACTTTGCAGGCCTGTTAGTCTGCCGTTTGATCATGGGGATCTTCGAAGCAGGGTTCTTTGGTAGGTGAAAGCTTCCGCTATTGACCTGCTTGCTGACCGCACCAGCTGGAGTGATCTTCTACCTCACACAGTTCTACAAACGCAACGAGATCGCCTTCCGACTGAGCATCTTCTACGGCATGGTCACGATCGCTGGTGAGTATCCCTGCTTTGATACCTGATCCTTCTGACGTCTCTAGGTGCCTTCTCTGGCCTCATCTCCTTTGGCGTCTTCCAAATCAAGCACCACCTCCCAGGCTGGAAGTACCTCTTTCTCATCGAAGGTGGCGCCACCCTAATCATTGCATCCTTCTCGCTTTGGTGGCTCCCTGCAAGCGGCGCTCAGTGCCACTGGTTCAACGAAGCTGAAGCTCGCGCGGCCCAAATGCGCCTGCTGCAGGACGGGTCGGTGCGAACGGGCGAGAAGCTCTCAATCACCGAAGCCTTGGCGGCGCTGAGTGACTGGCGTGTGCTAGCATGGGCTGTCAGCTGCTTCTGCTATGGCGTCGCCCAGACCTCCGTTAGCAATTTCCTACCGCAGATGGTGGCTCTCCTGGGGTATTCCACCATCAAGACGAATCTCTACACGGTGGCGCCGTACTGTGTCGGCACGGTCGTGCTATGGATTATCTGCAAGTCATCAGATCACTTCCGGGAACGTTCCATACATTTGGCAGGCTCGCTGATGATCACCTTTGTCGGGTATATCATCTTGATTGCGGTGGACGCGTCAGAGCACCAAGGTGTTGCCTACTTTGCTTGCTTTCTCCTGGCAGCCGGTGCTTTCGTGCCTAGCTCTGTCTTTCATAGTTGGCACACCAACAATGTCACCGACGAGTCGCAACGTGCTGCGACTGTAGGATTCCTGGTGGGCGCGGCCAACTGTGCTGGCATCCCGTCCAGTCTGGCATTCAAGGCAGATACAGCCCCGCGATATAAGCCGGCGCTAATCGTCAACTGCGCCTTTCTTCTTTTCGGAGTGTTGGTGATCCTGGGGATGGGAACATATTTCCGCTACGATAACCGGCGCCGCGATCGCGAGCAAGGAGTGAGACTCACCGCGGCGGACGTGTCGACCAAGTCGCTGGTGGGCGGATGGAAGGATCCGAATTGGCGATGGACCGCATGAGGTCAGATATTGCAGACTATCCTGTTGTTTTGGCTTTGTCATACGGCGATATGTAACCATGGGTGTGCCCGTAATGGCAGAACAAGGATCGTTGACGTCGGCGTAGTAAGAACCAATAAACTGGCTGAGACAAACTCATTCAGCAGTCCACTGTTTCAAGCTAATTCCCTGAGCGCGATAAACTTTGATAAGCGTCTATACTATTCAATCGGACAAAGAATGATGCTTCCATTGTTACTGGCTGCAATAAGCCTCAGCCACCTCGCGGAGGGATCACCCGGACGTCCGAGCTGACTGGGGTGTACGACCTCAAAACCGGACAGCTTGATTACGGCGACAGGGGTTGAGCCAATATATCCGTACAGCGTGTTTCCCAATGGACGACCGTTAGGGCGGCTGATGCGCCCCATGATTCGCCGGAGATGACCTTATCGGGGCCTATCCTGAGCTGTTCGAAAGGCTGACAGGCACCAGGGATATGCAAGCCATAGCAACCCCAAAAGTGATATCCATGTTTCCCCCCTTCTCCTTTTTCTTCTCCTCTATGGACCGTATTGGTTCCATGCCCAATCATAGTTTCCTTCCCTCATGGCTGCCAGCGAATACACGCCTCTACTCGAACCCTCGAAGCAGCCGCAAGAGCGGTCATCGCGATGGCGGGTACTGGCTTTGATCTGTTTCATTATCCTCGTTCAAGACTTTGCCGAGTATCTCTCTCAGGCGCCCCAGACTGAAGTCTGGCTCGAGATTGTCACTCGTAAGTTCTGTCCCTTAGGACAGGATGGGCCGGAATGCCAGATGGACAGCGTGCAGAGGGAGGTGGCTCTCCTACAGGGTTGGAAGGATACGCTGGAGCAGGTGCCGGGTAGAGATCACTTTCTTCATTTATCAGGGCTCGACTGACATGTCTTAGGTATATTGTTCGCGGTGCCATACGGCGTGCTGGCCGACCGGATCGGACGTCGGCCGGTGTTGCTTCTATGCGCGGTGGGATTCACGCTGAGCGATGCGTGGACCAAGGCTGTCAGTGAGCGCGGATCCTATAAATTAGAATCTTTTAGGTCTCAATCACTGATGCGGTTGATTACCGTCCAGGCTGGTTCTCCGATCAGCTCCCGCTGCGACTGATCTGGCTTGGTCCGATAGCTCAAGTGTTGGGTGGTGGCACGCAGGTAGCCACCTCCATGATGTATGTCATTCTTGCTGATCTGTTCAGCGACGAAGAACAGTAAGAGACAACCTCCCTATTAGTAGAGGATTGCCTAACTCACAAAGTCCAGGATCACAGCATTTCTCTACGTATCGGCTACGGTGCTCGTCAGCGAGATCCTGGCCACTCCGCTTAGTGCCCTCCTCATGACGAAGAACATATGGCTACCGTATCTACTATCACCTGTTTTCAATGCCGCTGGTGGTCTACTCCTGTTTCTCTTACCGGAGACATTACCACAGACCCCACCCGGCCAACCGTCTTCATCGGAGCAAGCATCACAACGACAAAGTTTACAGGGGCGCATCAGAGCTGCAGTTGACGAGCTGGGCCAGTCAATCGCTGTGATCTGGCGGCATCGCCCGGCGCAGCTTCTTCTGGTGGTGTTCTTTATTGCGTATCTGGGAATGCAGGTAATGAAACTGCTTCTGCTCTTCGCCGTCGACCGATTTCATTGGACGATTGCGCAGGTGAGTGGGACCGGGATAAATCACGATATGACCAGACCTAACATTTCCTTTATAGGCCAGCTTCCTCATACCCGTGCGAGGATTTACCAGACTACTCCTACTTCTCGTAATCCTGCCAGGTATATCGCACTGGCTCATAGAGCGACGGCGAATGTCTCCATTAACCAAGAACACTAGACTGGCTCTGACGAGTAGCGCTTGCATGGGCGTGGGATGTCTGCTAATTGCGCTGTCCAGCCATCCAGCGGGCACAGTTTTGGGGCTGGTAGTGTATGCGCTTGGGTCAGCGATGCATCTATTTGCTCGGCGCATTATCACGTCGCTCGTAGACGCGCATCACATGGGTACGCTGTATACGGCGATTGCAGTGATGCAGGGAATCGGAGTATTGGTGGCCGGGCCGATGATGGCGACGGCGTATGGCTGGGGACTGGCAAGGGGTGGAGTGTGGACGGGGGCGCCGTTTTTGCTGGTGAGTGGGCTTTATGGGGCGGCTGGGTTGGCAATCCTCCTGGGAAGTTGGGAGGGCCGCAAAGACGATCTGGAGGATGGTCAGTGAGAAAGCTGTGGAAAGCCGCGAGACTATTGGCTAGGACATACACATCATCCCTACTTTTCATAGCACTTATAGTCTAGCACAAGATAAGCAACTGTGGTACCTGGTTTGACTGAAGCTTGACAGTTTTAGTCCATTATTGAAGCACTGGACCGATCACTAGAGGGGGATAAAAATAGATCCCCTATAGTAAATACGTCTCGGGGATCGTCGATAGTTACCGATCCCCCTGCCGTTTTGAGGGGGTGCGAACATTGTCTGCAAATGAAAATCAATCCCAGATGGCTTGATGTAGACTGACATCCCATGAAGCGAGGTTGAGTCCAATGGGAAAGTTGCATAATCCCGTCGTCTTGAATGTCTCTGATGGATGTTGCGATGAAGAAGAAAACCAAAGATTGAGGGAGATTGTGGGTGCCTGGCCACTAGGCCTGTTCGGGTGGATTTGCTGCCTTATTGGCCTCACCCGCTCACCTGATCGCTAACCTGATCGAATCTTCCCATTCTGAATAACTTCAAAAACCTCTTCTCTCTTCCTTCATCTCAATCGAATCAAATACCAGAAGGACAATCCACGTTCAGCTCACTTTTCACGCACCAACTCGGCATCTACATACATGTTCTGCTTGTCAGGATGATCTGGATGATCATGAAACCCACCGCCAATCACTGCCACTTGCACTGTGTCCGATCCTTGGAAATCGCCGTCGGAGCCTGATGGGCTTCATTCGCCAATGACGCGTCTTACTCCCCGGGCTAGCGGCCACTAGCCCATCTATCGGACTCCATCCATGGCTTCCATCCGCGAATCCAGCCGCCGTTTCGCCCAGCCCGGCCCCCACTGGTCCTCGGTCGGTTCCTGTTTCAAGGCTATTTTTTGCTCCTGGCCTTTTTCTCTCCCTCTCTCCTGACCCACCACACGTCCAGTCCAGGCTAATTTGATTCCCGACGCCGCCGCCGCCGCTGCCTCGCTCATCGCTCTTTCTCCTGACCGTTGCTTATCCTTCCACTGGACCAGTCCGTCTTTCTCCTTGCCCGTCCTTACTACCTCCACCAACATACACTCGTTCCAACGCTTTGTCTCACCTTGCTTTCTTTTGATCTCAGTCGCTCATCATGCAGTTGAAGTCCATCCTTTTCGCTTTGGCTTTCAGTGCCTTCGCCCAGGCCGCTACTATTCATGGCTACTCCGAAAAGGATTGCAAGGGCGGCAACCCATCGGATTCGAGTAGCTCGAAAACGGATACTTGTCTGACCTTGGATTCGAGCAGTTCCAAGTCTCTTAAGGGTTCACCTGGCGACTATGTCCTCACGGCGTTTGCGGAATCGGATTGTAATGGCAACGGCTTTGCCCTGCCGCCCGGCAAGTGCATCAACGGCGACAAGTTCACTACCTACGAGGCATGTGCCCTGAAATGGATCTATTACGGGTTCCCCTGGGTTTGCTAACAGGACCAAACTATTTAGGTCCAATTTATTCCCATCGCCAAGCGAAGCAACGCAACGGCCCTGCTGGAGTTGTACGCCGACTACTACGCTGAATTTCCCGAGGAGGCCGAGGAGCTTAAACGCCAGCTGAACGAAGCGTAGGGGCAGCAGATGGACGCCACTGTACAATGAACTTGTTGGATTCTGCATAGTTGAATGACCCGATTTTTCTTTTTGAAGTCTTTGGAGTTTGGGATACCATATCTGCGACATTATTACTAGCACCATGGCACGGATGACAATATAAGCTATTCTCGTTTCCACTGGAGTCATATGAGAGGAACAACTGAGTTGGCAGCTGATCGGTTGGATTGAAAACCTGAATTGCCATGTTGCAGATCGCATGGAGGCCACTGCGATGGAACCGATCTGAGCGGAAATCACATGACTTGCTCATTTCTGGACTTCATGCTTTTAGCACGCCATTTATCGTAGCTCCAATACATGAGATGGCCTGGAAAAGCGATCTAACAAAACTTGGTGAGCCGGCCTAGGAATGGCACCCTCCAGCGCTACTCCAGTCACTGCATGTCTTAAGAAGTGAAGAATAATCGTGTCCCATGGATGCTAAGCTTGGAATATGTAGGAGCGACTGATGGCTTTTGTGAACCGTCGAGAAGACATTTAGAATCCTATCACTATTGTCACTGTGGACAAGATGGTGCAGACAGCAGAATAGTTGTAACTGGACTTTACTATTCCAACCACCGACGGGGCTACAATCAAGATCACAGCATCATCGCATAAGCGGATTGATTTCAAATTCAACTACTGAGAAATCATAACTTCCATTCTGGGTTGAGTTCAGACAAAGAAGCCAGCAACAAATGAACACGATCACAAGGCAATCTTGCGTGAATAGGCTTGTCTCGGCTGATAAATGCTACAGCCTAATCAGACGTCTAGCACAGCAGCGCCGACCATTCCTCCTGAGGTCCAGTATACTCAGCAGTTGGATCCGCCAACCACCACAGCCGATCGGGCGAGGTGAGAATCATATACGCACTGATGATGTTCATGCAGCTGCAGTCCGTATACTTCTTCTCATACGCCTTTCCGATGGCCGGCACCCGCTCCTGCCAGGTCATCGCATCGTAGCCCCAGCACCTCGGACACTCCTTGAAATGTAGGACACAGTGCTGGAGCAGCTCATCGTAGCGTTGCGGGTTCTGGCACCGGTCTCGCAACGAATAGTTTCCTGGCTGGTCGCTGCGTCCCACTGCCTTCAACATCGGGTTCATGGCATTGAGCACCGCATCGCCGTACGGGTCCACCTCAGACCCAGGACTATTCTTGCGCGGTGGCATCAACTTGTCCAGCAACAACCCGGTCTGGTACCGCGCCATGTAAATCTGCCAGGCCAATTCACGGCCCGCCAGATGAATGGCCCACAGGGCGCCGTTGTCCAGCGCCCACGCCCACACATAAATGCAGAATCGTCGCACCATGGCCGTGCCCGGCACTTCTTGGTGCACGCTGACGATCGTCAACAGATTGTAATACTCCTTGGCCATATTATCATGCCGATAGTCGCAGATATCATGCATCACAGTGGACGCAAACGAAATGGCATCCACTTCCTCGTCCGTGCCGATCAGCGGTTGTTCCAGCTGCGCATGCAGGGCTAATGCACGGCCCGCCGAGTTGATCAACCGGTAGCTGATGCTCCGCCGCTCGTCGTCGGGGAACTTCAACTCTGTCGCTTTAGGGTGCAGCACGTCCAGATACACGGATTGCACGCACATCAGCCAGGCATCCATGATCTTGCGGTGCGGGCCGGGTCCGTGGTCTCGGTGGACGTGCTCAATGTATTCGCTGACGCGCTGCGTGCAGATGTCCAGCACCTCGGGAAGCTCGCCCAGGAAGTGGAGGTAGTCTGGGAAGCAGGCCAGCACGCCGGCGGTGCAGCTTCCGTGCACGCATTCGTGGCAGAGCTTGGTGTTGTCTGACAGACACCAGGTGAAGCCGTAGACTTGCTCTGCCACGGCGTGCCAGAAGGGGGTATCTGGGACATCGGGGAAAGATTCTCGGAAGCAACGAAGAAGGTATTTACCACGAGGCAGAAAGGCCAGACGGCTGGAGCTGCCGTGGCGAGGAGCTCGGGATCAGGAAGGTCCTTCAGATCCCGGGTCCAGGCCAGACATTCCTGGAAGATGGCCGCCCGCATGTGTGCGTCATAGATGCCCACGGGATTGCGAGCATCGAACAATTGCAAGCCAATCATGGGGTTCCAGCTCTTGCGGAGTTCAGTCACGATCTTCATGTCTTCAGAGAGCTGACCGGATACCTTCTCGATGGGAGGGTAGAGGTCAGGCCCAAAGAGAGCAGTTTGAGTGGCAGTGGCCATTGCGAGTGCAGGGAAAGGAAAGAGGTAGAGTATTCGATGGATATAACAACTAAATTGAATTCTGGTGCTTAAGTAATTGTGAGAGTTGAATCTTGATGCTTAGGTCGTAAAGGACAGTCCATGAGCGTCCTTATATACCTTTTCCTCGAGCTCTCCGGAGGCCAACTGATACCAATGACGTCTCAATGGCGAAAAGCGCTTTGACAATGAACCGATACTTGATTGCTGTACCGCGATAGAATAGGTATACACCATCGGCCAGAATAATTTGCAGAAAGGATTGTGTTGGCTTGGAAGGGTGGTTGTCGCACGGCCCTGAGGGGAACATACAGTATCCCGTTGTGGCAACTCGAGTGAGCGTGGACTCCACCAGGGCATGCGGTACTAGTACTAGGATAGTGTAGAATTGCAGCGAAAGTCTACGGATGGAGGACAAAGCTACTTGAGGGATGACGCCTTCATCTCCAGGTAGGTCCGAGAGTTACAATGCTGATTGTTACTATATCCAGTATTGTCTGAGAATCCCTACGAGTCTTATGATATTGTGCTTCAGCCTAGTCCTGTCCACAGATGCTACTGTCTTTGTTGTTGCCTCGCACAGAGCTATCTACCTTTGGTGTAGTGGCTGCTGAAGCTATCGGAGAAATACGCTGCTTGGTGGTGGATGAGGGCCATAATGTGCTCGGTGATAGGCACACAGAAGCTGCATAGCCATGTGCACAACATGGAAAATTTGATGAAAGTACGGTGAATGAAGCAGTGTCAATCTAAACGGACATTCTCGGAGAAGATGCAGTCGCATCACAGCGCTTTCCTTGAAAGGTTCTCTAACTCATTCTGGTAACTCTAAACATCATACGGGACAGGCCAGGTTGGTGTCATGCGGATGTCAGGGAAACCTACAGCAACCCAACGGTACAGTAGGTCCAGGAAGAGAAATGTATTAGGGGGCGCTCTATCAAGTTTCCATGAATCAGTAAGTTAGCATCTGATGTAATCTACTGCTCTACGGAGGATCATTGGATTAAAGGGCACAAAGGATCATCACTAAAGCTCTTGTGCCTCTGATTGAACCTTGAAATTCTCTATTAGGCTTAGAAATCACAGAGGGGGCTACAGGAAGTGGGGTTTGGGCGTGGGATTCATCTGTCGACTGAAATCCACAATTTCGATGACAAATTCCATTGGCACATATCTCTTTTCTGCCCTCAGTAGCTGTTAGGTATCGATTGGAGTGCTAGGTTCCTTTACATGCAATGGAGAACCTTCAGTGCTCAGAGTCGTACCAGACCGATATTTTCGTTGCCCTGTCTATAATCAGGTCGCCTGAATCAGAACACTTTAGGGTATACAGGCAGACATGAATCAGAATGAGCGCTACACGAGGTGTAAAGGAAACTTTGGTGGGGGTCTATAGTCCACGCGCACCAATACCAAGTGGCCTTTGCTAATGGCAACTATGGTATGTGGTAATCCTTTCTATTTCAGGGAATCTGTAGTGATCATATCCCGAGATGTGTCAAAATTCCTATTTAATTACGCTCATGATTCAGGTTTCATCGAGTATACTGCATATATCAGGATTTCTCATGTCATGCTGTCCGAGGAACGGCGCAATCAGTGTCTGAAATCAGGTTATTCAGTTCGCAACAGCATATAGTCTGCAGTATAGATGCAACAGACCCAGTTGCCCTTACATGCTTCCGTATTCAACCGTTGACTGACCACATGTTTATCCATAATTCTGCGTCTAGAACCTGTTTCTGCATCCTGCCGGGCTGTATTCTGGCCAATGGTGTGTGCGATAAACATCTGTCTTCCAACGGTCGTCTTGCAACGGGCCAAATCCCGAGGGAATGTACTTCTGTCTTGCAGCGCGCATTGAAGCGTCACATTAGCCCTCACTTTGTTACGAAAGTGCGGATCAGCACATTGCGGTGAAGATCTACGAGGTAGAGTAGCAGAATGAGATGCAGGCAGCTCCCAGCCCTTCTCGAACGAGCTGGAAAGTCCGAGAGCACGAAAGACGGACTTCCCCATCAACTCCGCAGATAATCATACGGACATTTCCCTCTTCTTATCGGTGGAGACCCAGTGGGGTTCGATTGTTTGGAACACCTCTATGTTACGGGGAAGATAGGAAACTTGGTTTTGCAATAGAACCGACGAGGAGCTCCAGATTGAAGTGAATACTGAGAACTCGTCATTGTTTTATTGAGCGGCCTTTGCTTACTGCTTACATCTCCATAATATGAAGAACTTTATGCTCCACCTGTCAAGAGCTGGAACTGCCACGCTTAGGCCTAGGAGGGGTATCCGGCGCGCCTTGCGGACATAATATCCGCCCAAGATGCGATTGGGCGTTGAGCGGCCCCTTATTCCATCCCCGGTTCTGTGGCCCTGACGGAATGCAGCTACCGGTGGGCACGGTCGCATGCATATCCGCTTGGAAAGTTCATGTTTTATTAGGCCGATATCTATCCCGTATTCCACGTCACGGGGTCAGTGGGTTCGGTTTCCTTGATATTGTCAGAAGAGGGCTCAGCGGCAAGGCTCGAGGTTGTGTCAGGTTTGCCTTGTCGCACGCTTTCTCGTTCCAAGAACCAGATGTTGTGATAAGAAAGCGAAGAGAGGCAAGCCAGTGATTTGAGCTACTACTCTTGCGTTGTACGAATTTACTTAGTTGACGTCACATGGACCATGTAGTCCTCTTCCCCATATCCTACAGGGCTATTTGCTACGCAAGGAGTAGAAGCAAGGCGGGCAACCGGTATGTTTGTACTGCTCTACTTATCTGCGAATATCTACTTTCGGCTAAACAAGCAAGTAAAATACGTATCATATGTCATAAGAGATAGCTACCCTGTAGTGGTATATGCAAGCAGCCAGGGATCCAAGGAAACGCTGTAACAGAAGTGGTTGGTAGAAAATCCCAGGTAAACCAGAAAACATCGTAGAACATTGCGCTGTATACATCACGTTGCCTCGCAGCGCATCAACAGTTCCTTTATGACCAACGTTCATGAAATTAGTGTGCACGGATCACTTCGGTACCGGAAAGCTGGACTGAGTGGGACGGTGAAGATCCCAACCTTCTCAAATTATCAGAGATCAGCATTTCCACTTGGGGAAGATCACAGGGGAGGGCGCCAATAAGGCTCACCAGTCAGGCCTCTCTTGTGGAATGTGCTGAGCGGCTGATCCCTTGGCGCATACGCCTTCTGCCCATGGGCGCATCCTGGACCATGTCTTCAACCGCCGAATTGCTCTGGAAGATACGACCGATGGCAGCCAGACCCACCAAGAGTGTAAGCGGCAATATGGTGATAGTGCAAAGAGATGGCTCCCCTGAAGCGGCACACGAGGCCAGACACACCGTGCTGGCCAAAACTGCCGAGAAGCTCATGAGGAGATCGTTGTGCTAGTGAAAAATGAAGTACCCACGTTTGATGAATGCGGCAGGGGAATAAAAGCTCGAAGTCAATTGATCGAGGTTAGAATCGTACTCGAAGGGTAGAGGATGAGCCCGGATTCTCAATGAATGCAATTGCAAATGATGTGATGGACTTTACGGTCATTTTATCTTCTCCATCGATTATGTTCGACGTCAGTATATATGCAAGAGAGTTGAAAAAGCAGTAAAGTTAGAATTGCAGCAACGTTCTTTTGGAGCCATTGTTCGTACTTTGTCACAGCCTGTTTTGGAACAAAGTTTGATTGGTGCATTGGATATGCCTTAACGGGAAGATTTTCATACTTAGTGCCTCTGATAAACGAAGAGTTTCCTGAATCTGCAGGACAAAAATGGATGACAAATGACAGTCCCACGAGGCATCGCCTGCATTGGCCTCTGCAGGGCTGGGAAGGCGGAAAAGATGGCAAGATGCATGGACGAAGCATATCACTCTCTCAGTGGCTACTCATCCACCTCGGGGAACTGTTACTGCCAGGACATGGACTCAATCAAGTCGTCCTGTGCATGTGTATGGCTCATAAATTCCCCAGTTACTGCAGCCTAAGATGTCCCATTCGCGAACTCTGAAGTTTCTTGTCGCCGGAGAATTAAAGATGGTTTCCGGTGAGTTGGGACGAGGATGGGCAGTAGTATGCGCGCGTGGTAAGCGGTTGGCAGTTACTGTCATGACTCCATCTTGTTTAACTTTGTTTCCTTTGTTTCCTATTTCTTTGCAGAACTGATAGACTGTTGTATATGACTGGAACACCCGTGAATTAATGACTACTCACTTTATCAGGCTGCGTCAATTATCCACGTGCTCTGTCGGTGGCAATTCCATAACAGGCTAACAACAAGGAATTCCCAAGTCCTTTGAAAAAAGCAGATATCTGACGCAGGTGGCTTTCAGAGCACGATACGTGCGCCTTATGCAGTCAATGCGCACGTCGACAATCAAGGTCTGGAATACGAAGTGGTGCGGAGGTTGTATCCGGGGATACTGGGGAAGTTCATTGGTAGCTTTCCGTGTTGATGCCCAAAGTCTAAACAAGTACAACGGCGTGCCAATCGGCACAGTTCAAGTCTTCAGTGCGGGAAATAAAACGGGCGGTATGACAGTGTACCTAGAAGTTTCTCTTGTCTATTGAAAGTTCTATCAAATGGAAATGTCTATAGCGAAAGTCTAAGGAGCTGATCAGGAGAAAAACCTTCAGCAAATGCAGATTTTACCCTAGTCATATCCGTAGCACAGGTAACCTCCCTGGGTGTTCATCACCTCGGCAATAGTGACGTTGGGCATGATGTTGAACGAGGAGAGTTCGTAGTGAAGAGTAGCGTTCTGCCATCCTCCAGCAGGCTCTACGTTGGCTGTGTGGTTCAGAGTTGGGCCACTGATGTCGTACAACCGGTTGATGGGATCTTGCTGCTGCCACTTCCACCAAACCCGGTCAATGTACATGTGGTGCATGAAGAATATCGGGTCGCCTGGGGAGGACTTGATGTCCGCCATCTGCGCATTTTGTCAGTCAGTGTTCTGCATATGGCTCGGTTCGTACAAAGAAGTGACACATACCACACCACCGATATAGGTGTGTACACCCTTGTGAGGGATGTTGGAGATACAATTCCACCAAGGGGCATAGGTGTTATAAGCATTGCACATCTCAAGTGCTGTGCTGTTGGCGTTGGCAATTGCGTTCTTGGTGTCCCATGCGCGGCGCAAGCAGTAGTCCGTGTCTTCATCACCCGGCCCAATGTGCAGAGTGAGGTTGGAAAACCGGCCATCGCGTACACAGTAGTCCGATCCGGTTCCATTGCCACCAAAGGCATCCGCTCCCCACATTGACGATTGCCACATGTTGCCGCTGTCAGCGTCCTTTTGCTCATCCCACCAGCTATAGCATTATCTATTAGTTTCCGTGTCCAATTGAATGCGACAAAGGTGAGTAAAATGGGAACACGTACGGCATGGGACCGCTGTAGCCACACTCATTACGAAGCAGGGCCTCGTAGATGTGCATGTAGTAGCGGTGCCAGGGGAGGAATTGTCCCTGGCCAGGCTGTTAGTGAGAGTATAGGCATATCATGAGCCATTGAGATTGACCTACCACATGGTGGATGATATCCGCATACGCCGTGTTGGTCATTCCCCGGTGAAGGGCCTGAAGGTCACTAAACCGACTCGTAGTTGCCGTCAATCCGGATTGGGCCGGCTTGTTCATCAAGCATTGAACCGAGTCAAGGAAACTGTTCTGCTCGTGCGTAGTCAAGTGGCGCCATTCCTTGCGGACAGTCATCTTTTCGCGAGTACAGCTTCGACTGAAGAATCCAGGGATATCATGAGATGAAGTGGTCTCACTCTGGTCAGTATTAGCAGAGGAATGAGGGACTGCAGCAGCAGAGGTAGTGGCTGCCAGCGCCAATGCTACCGCGAACGACGAAAACTTCATCCTGTAAAGCAGAGAAGGGAAAAATTTTTATAAATTGAATTCAAGAAATATAAAGAGAGAAAGAAGAGAGAAATGACTGTCAAAGGTAGGCTGAATACTCGAAAGAAAAGAAAGAGAGACTGAAGTACAATGTGAAGAATGAAGACCTCAAGATCTCAGCAGTAACCTATGCCTTTTATACCTCTCACTGTTCCAAACGTGGAACCCAACTCACATCACGGGAGCCTTCAAAATAATTCCGTTCAACCACGGATCGGCACTGGAAAGTATCAATCGGGAAAGGTCCGGAGGCTTTCTTCTATAAGGCTGGAAAGCCGGTGACATGGGAATAGAGGAGCGTATTTCGAATGGTCCACATCAATGATAGAAACGGATTGTATTCCAGGAGGCCAAGGTTTCAGCCACACCCAGAAACTATCATGCTGGATCCTCCTTGAACAGACGTTTAGCGTCCTCCAGCGACAACGAAGGGCCGAGGTTGTTGCGGCGGGCACACGATCCCGGGCACGATATGATAGGGGCACCGGCACAAGATGGTCTGTCAGATGAATGTATTACACAATCGTTGGGCTCAGGTATACTCTAAAGACCGCTTAGAGTGGAGTATAGGAGAAGACGATTCTATAATTAAAGACATTAATGGGCCACAAGTATTGCGCAGCGACAGTTCATGGGTTTCCTTCCGGATTATAGGGAAGGCCCCTCAGACGGACCAGATGCCGATGAAGCGATTTTGCTCAGTAGCAGTCAAACGCGCAGTTCTCTCTACAGCTACTGAGAACCTGAAATCTGCCTGCTGCACATGGGAATAGCTTCAAGAAAGTAAGCCGCATATGCGTAAGGCGCCCCGTCGGGAATACGTAGGGCAGGGCTTGGCGCGCCCCAGGCGAGGGTCTTGACGCGCGTCGGTGTTGAACCAGTCAAGCAAGCTTCGCTGAGACCCGACTTGCCGAAAAGCTAGAAAAAGCTAATCGCCAGTAGAGAGATAGAGAGTAGATATAGGGGTGGATCAGCCAAGGGCCCATCATTCTGGTCACTGTCAGTGTCAAGCGGCTGATTATCTCGATTCTCGATGGCAGCCGACCAATTTGCCGACCCACCCTTGCCCGCCGATAGAAAACGGCAGTGATTGACCAGAAAATTTTGCAGTGCTCTGGTTCTTTCCACTCCCTTGTTTAGTCCTGACTCGAGCAAAGAACAAAAGATGCTCGTAGCGTGGGTATTCAAAGGGAGGAGGACTGCGTGGCAGCAATATCTGCAGCAGAGACTGGCCTGCTGGTGGAACCGCGCTCTCGATGCTGGGGCTCCGCCGAGCAAAATCTTCTCATCATCGATGAAACCAAGATCTTATCTTGAAAACTCCTCCAATTTTAGACTCATGACTATGAAAGATGTTTATGTCAGCGGCTCATATGCGCCAGTCGCATCCCTTGCTTCAGAGATGAGGTTCTTCGTGGACCAGACCAAAGAGTCAGTGTGGGTCGTATATTCATACTATCGATGACCTAGGACCAACATGGTGGGGTGCAGGTGAAACCTTCGGTTCTGCAGAGATGCAAAACACATGGAGGCGATGGGGAAAGGGAGTGAGGGCATAGGGCGTATACAGAAGGTCCGCTTAGCAGACTGGCATTGCACCACCCTCAAAGTAGATTTCTTCGAAGTTGTGGATGGTGAGCAGTCACTTAGCCTTCGCCTCTCATATGAGACAGCAGATTTGGGGACATAATACCATCCTTTTGGGTTCTTTATGCCCTACAAGTATTAGCATGTGCGAGGTCTTCAGCATGAGGCGTATAAGCTTCTCTTGGCACAGAAGACGCGGCCTCGAGCCACGCGAAATCTATGCGGGCCATTATGGCACGTTATAAGCCGGCTGTTTGAAAATTGCAATCTGGTCCACCTGAATACGAGAAGGCCTGTGATCCGTCCGCTGTCGTTCCACCTGATCGAAAAGGAAGTGCGTTGGGAAGTTTCCATGTCCTACCCCTGAGAAGGCGAGACCGTGGGTACTACTCCCTATCAATGCGCTTCACACTTCCGAGAGAATTGAAGGGCAGCGTCAGTTAGATCTCGAGAGATAGGAGTAGATTTTGCGTTACCTCATCTCTCTCCTGAAGTTTCTCTTAGGAGATGGCGTGTCTCGCCTTTCTGTGTCTTGTGCTCTATCCGTTCGATGTTGGTATTCAGCTTTCAGGCTTGAGTGTCTTCACCCCTATAAGTCATGAGACTGTGAATAGGTCTTAGGCAAGAGGTTTGGTGGGGTGTTCGCCATTAAGGATGGCTTCAGCATGATCGGTCTCCGGGCATGCAAAGCGGGCAGTGACATTCATCGAAAGACAGTCAACACGTCCACAGCAAAAACTAAATGAGGCTTTGCCGAAAACTTCACATGATTCATAACAAGTCTCTACATGTTATTGTCTTGAACCATATGATCTCATTTATCAAACGCCCACCAACCGCACAATTTTCGATTACCTTCCGAGACCGTTCTTATTGACTGCATATGTGTCGATAGTCAAAACTTCAACAAACAGACCTCTGCGTCCCGCTGTCATGGACTGCTTGTACTTAGATGTGAACAGTGATCGCCAGACCGGCGAGCTGCCAGCCTCTTCTAGCAACGATCGACATCGGGTCGATCTTCGGTACCGGTGACTTCATTCTATACCTGGCATTGTTCATCAAGGACCTTGTGGGTCGATCTGGTGCCTATCCTGCTAATGCCGCTCATGTTAGGATCTCCAAAACAGTATGAAATATACAGTCGAATCGAACCTGATCTGCGGCAACTCCACATAACTCAGCGATCTTCCCGCGTGCTCTGGGCAGTTTGAATTGGTATATCCTCTTGGTCGTCCATCCCTCCGCCAGTATGAGCCAGATCGAATGGCCCTTTCTGGTGCTAAGAAGATTTGGTGCTCGTTCATGTGTCCAATCAATTGAACTACTATAGCCTAGTCACAACATGTTCATCTGTTTCCAGTCTATGGGTGCATATCTAGCGAAGCAAACTTCGGACGCGAAGTTACCAAGTATTGCAGACGGCGCTCCCAGTCGCGCGCGTCTAGTCACCCTCAATAACCAAGGTTCATCGTCATTTCAGACTCGCCAAGGCTCTGTAGCCAGAATAGCATGATCAAATCGGGAAAATTGATGGTACATGACCTTCTGATTTCGTCCAACGGAACTGGTTCCAACGCGTGCGGACATCTGTTCCCCATTTGGACAGATATCCGCTTCGCCGTTGTCATTGATCCCCGAACTCCCGGTCCTGGAACCATATGGCTTCTGCAGTGGAAATGTCAAAATCCGGACAACGGTAGCGATGATAAGAGATGCAGCATGACGAAGCAGCGACATGCATCCTACAAAGCGGGGCTAAAGCAGTTGGCGCCGGGGATGATGTGGATATCCCGACGGACTCCGGCCCGTTGCCTTTTGGCCACGCCTGACCCCTCATGCCGGTAGTTATGCCTCTTCAGGGGCTGATCTTCAGTCTTCTAATACTTTTTCACATTGGCAGGCTTGAAGGTAGACTTGGTGGCATTCTTGGCATATGAGCAGAGTTCTGTTGCCTCCGAATATCCAGCCTTGGACATACAGCCCCAAGTGTCTACAGCGGGCGATAACCCTCTCTTCGCGATGCTGATTCTGCATTGCTTGCTATTGCCGAGGAGAAGATGCATGATATGAAGGTAAATTAAATTGATTTCTCCGGAGTTTACAGGCTCGGTAAGGCACGAGCCATTCAATGACCCCCATTCTTCATCCTAAATGAAGTTTATCTGCCACACACGGGACGATCTCCAAGGAACCAATGGACTGTTCCCCTTGTTATCATCACGCCATGCCCACACGTCGTCATCGTTGGGGATAGTAGTCTGATGGACATTCCGCTTGAGGCAAAGTGGGCCCAATGTCACGCGGTTAGCTGGTCTTCTGCAGGTCTACAGTGGAACAAGAGAGCTCGAGAGCCGATACCCTCAAGTTGGATATTCTCTACCGCTTCGATACCAGCATGATCGTCCCTTTGCTGTCGCTATCAAGATGTTAAACAGATGTTGTTCGTTTACATCCGGGAAACGCAGATCTATGCCTGGCGCTTGAAGAGACATTCCGTGATCCTTCCGTTACCAAGAATGCTTGTGACTTTGAAGCTTTTTCCCAAGATTCTCCGCATCGCCAGCCCCGAACTAAGCGAAATGAGCCTTTCCTCAATGCTGCAGACAGAAGACACCATCGCTTTGGCGCCTTGGCACCATCAGCCACCGTCGGTCCTATCACCATCGCCTTGGTCGATAGGCGAATGCGTCAATTCCGTATCCGGGTAGTGTTATCTGCTCGATATTGCACTGGCAGAGCAGGAATCGGAATTGGCGGATAAAGAGAAAATTAAGCTTCAAGAGGGGGGAAGAGGGGACACTGAAGGGGTATAAAATCAGGGCCAACTCCCTACCAGACAGTTCTCATCCAGCAGCATCCAAACAGCTCCCACTCAGACTCCAAGCATCTCCCAGTCTCTCTTCAAATCATTATCTCACAAACATCTTTCTATCAAGATGAAGACCACTGCTCTCTTGACCGCCGGCCTGCTGGCCACCTCTGCTATGGCCGCTCCTCTGACGGCCAAGCGCCAGGCTGCTCGGGCCAAGCGCTCCACGAACCGCCAGAGCAACCCTCCCTTCAAGCCTGGCACCAATGAGGTCCTTACCCTCAACGGCACCAAGAACGTGGAGTACAGCTCCAACTGGGCCGGTGCCGTCCTGATTGGCACTGGCTACACTGCCGTGACCGCCGAGTTCGTCGTGCCCACCCCCTCGGTGCCCTCTGGTGGCTCGAGCCGCGAGGAGTACTGTGCCTCCGCCTGGGTGGGCATTGACGGTGACACCTGTGACACCGCTATCCTCCAGACCGGTGTGGACTTCTGTGTCCAGGGCAGTGAGGTGAGCTTCGATGCCTGGTACGAGTGGTACCCCGACTACGCCTACGACTTCAGTGACATCTCCATCTCGGCCGGTGATACCATCAAGGTCACCGTCGATGCCAGCAGCGACACCACTGGTACCGCCACGATTGAGAACGTGAGCACCGGTACCACGGTCACCCACAGCTTCACTGGAGGTGTCGATGGCGATCTGTGTGAGTACAACGCTGAGTGGATCGTCGAGGACTTTGAGGAGGATGACTCCCTGGTTGCCTTTGCCGACTTTGGCACTGTGACCTTCACCAGCTGCTCCGCTACCAAGGATGGCTCGTCCGTTGGTCCTGAGGATGCCACTATCATCGACATCGAGCAGAACGAGGTTCTGACCTCCGTTTCCGTCTCCGATAGCGAGGTTGTTGTCAAGTACGTCTAAGACATTGGAGGTGTGAGGCTTGGGATTGCTGAAGCTTCGATGAATGTATTCCGAAGGCAATGGTGAGATGAGTGACGGAAAGGAGGGGTTGGTCTTTTGGCCTGGGGCTACCCCTCTGTTGATACTTCTGAAAAGCAAGTGTTGCAAATGTTTGTCTCTTATTGTATATGATGTTATAGTTTGCCTTGAGTTGAATTAAGCGAACCAACGTTGGACTATCGTATTCCCTTAGCGCAATTAAGATAGGACGTACACCCATAAAAGATTACGCATCTCTGCGAACGGGCTAACGGCCCTGATATGTCAACGAACAGAAAATCATTTGGCAAATTAGGACTCGGAAATCTTGGAACTCTAGGCATATACCTCATTACTGTACAGAATTCACCGATGTGCTTAAACATTTACAATGAATAAAGGACACATGATATGGTACATTTTAATGCTATCACTAGCACTCATTCGAGCTGCCCATCGAGGCCAGTCGGATATCTTACACGCCGAATCTGAACTCGCGCACCTTCTTCTGATAGTAGAAAGACGCCAACAGACCCGTCGCACCCAAAGCCATGGGAATAGGAGCCTTAGCGCGGGTCTTGATCGTCCGCATGAGACCGGAGACGAGGAGGACCACACTGTTTCCCAGGGCCAATTCCGTGCCGTAGTCCTTGTTCTCCTTGATCAGGTAGCCTATCAATTCGATATCAGTATGTGTTTCTTCTTATACCTGCATCATGTGGGTGCTACGTACCTGCGTAAGCGTAGGAGAGACCCAGGCCGACACCGGCGATCAGGGACGGAGCGGAACGCGTCCGCATGTAGCCGGCGATGCCACCCACCGGCACTGTTGGGTTGCCAATTATTTAGCCCATGTCTGGTAAAAGTTGATGCAGTTAAGGAGGTATGAGCTTACGCAGGCAAGCCAGAGTGAAGGATGGGTGTTCAGCCATGGTTTCGATTCTTGGATATTTCGAGGAGATGGATGGAGAATGTAACTCTAAAGATGAATCTCTCTCATGTTGGTTGTCCTTCTCGGCATTCCGGATGCTCGGAGGGCGAAAGGTCCGAGCACGAGCAGCCAATCAAATGCGGTATAAACACTTGACACAAGCTGGCATATACTAAGTATACTTAGGATTTGTGCTGTTCTGGGTATTTCTTGGAAATTCGATGAAATTCGTCTATTTAAAGTGTGGATTGAAAGGAATTGTGTTCAGCATCTCTGAGAGCGAACTCTTAACGAGGCTTGAAGATATATATGCATGATGTATATATTTTGAGATACAGTACTAGCCACTCCACATGGTATTCGAGGTACATTGAATCTCAGTTACCAGTACTAGTACTAACTAGAAGAGATAAACATATTGTCATATCAAGAAATGAGGGAGTCGGTACTTCTATTGATCAATTTAGGATCTGCCTCAATATTAAGGATCTAATACTAGAAAAGAGAGTAGTACTCAGAGGACAAAAGCACGTGACTTAGACTCCCCGAAGAAGGAGTTTGACTCTCCGCCTGCCCAATCCAGAAGACGACATTATTCTCACCGCCCGGCCATGCTGGGTGCCTGGGGCTCTTACGAGTTGTGCCTGTCATCTCCTCAGGGCTATTGCTCATCCATCGGTTGACTTTGATGTACAGACAGCATTCCGATTACTCACCCTTCAAACCCCCTTGTCATATAACCTCCCGCCCGATGCCAGATCCAGCGCCACTGCCTCTTGCAATCCCAACACGTTGAATAAATCCCGCGGACTACCCCCCGCTCGCACCGCCTGCGTGCCGGTTTGCTTCAATTGCTGTACCGCTCCGCGAACCGCCGAGTAGACTGCCCCCAATGCCAATCCAGGGAAGATGATCAGCCGAAACCCGAGCTCCTGCGCCTGTTGAACCGAGAGATCTGGCGACACACCCCCGGGAACATTGTTGAAGAGAACGGGGGTGGGTTTGAGCTCTTCACAAACCTGTCGAGCTTGATCCGTGGACGTGATGCCTTCCAGGAAGGCTACGTCTGCCCCGAGGGCGATGGCTCCCTTGAGTCGGGAAATGGCGGCATCATAACCCAGTGATTGGAGGGCATCCGTCCGGGCAATCAGAACAATATCACCGTGGGACCGGGCGCGAGCATTCACGGCGGCTTGGATGCGGTCCAGATATTCGTCCTCGGGAACGAGTTGCTTGTTACGCAAATGACCACAGCGTTTACTCGTCGGCTGGTCTTCCAAGTGCAGAGCGGCCACCCCGGCGCGGATGTATTCGGTGACGGTGCGGTGGACCATGAGAGATCCTAGTATGCCTGGTCAGCCACTGAATCCTGCCATTGGTGGCGGAACAGTACCTCCGAAGCCCGTGTCAGCGTCAGCAATCAGCGGAACTGTCGGGTCTAGATTGGCGATCATCTCTGCATTCCCCCGCATTTCGTTCAATGTGACGACTCCCAGGTCCGGCTGTCCCAGTCGCGAAGCCGTCGTGCCTGCACCTGTCTGACAACCAGTGTCAGTAGACAGATAGAACCCCGACCAGCAGTTCTCGGTGTAGTACCTACCATGTACAATGCATCGAATCCCTCCTGGAGGGCGATTCGGGCAGTAAAGCCATCGTAGACCCCCGGACAAACAATGATCTTGCTCTCGTCCGCCAAGAGCTGGCGAAGCTTGGTAACCGCAGGAGCAATTGCCATTGTAATATGTGCAGAAAATCGATGGGGACGTAATCAAGCGCAATTGAGGGGTTGCAGCAGCAGCAGCAGCAGTAGTGCGTGGTGGTGCCATGTGATGATGTTATATCATACTTGTGAATCCTCCGGGCCGCAAGCGGGCCGAGCCCGGGAAAGCAACGATGCGAAGGATGCATCCCCATTTCATATATTAAGATGCGGTCCTTACAGCTTTCTCGAGTAACCCCGCTCAGAGATACTCGTTCATTAAGCCTCTCTAGCAATACAATATCATCATGGGTGACGCCAGCGAACCCAGGTCCCCTTCCCCACTGCAAGTACTGCAGCAAACCCGGAATGTCATTCTCTCGGAGACAGACAGTACGTCGGGGACATCAAAGAAATACATAGCGAGTGTTTCACTAACGTAACGTGATGAAGCGTACGCATTGCCACCCACAGGGAATTTACTCAAGCAGCTGGTGCGAGTAGTCGACGCACTTCGGGCGCAGGACTACCCTCGGGAGGCCAATGCCCTCACTGATGTCCTCGCGATAAGCCAACAACCCACGGAAATAGGAGGACTCGGGTTATCCGCAGCAGACAGTCTAACACCCGAGCAAGAAGCCGAAATTACGTTTTTGGTCACAGCATGGCTCGAAGCTTTGAATTCGGCCGATCGCGCCAGGGCACCACCTGTTCCACTCGCGGTCAGACCCCCCGGCCGACGTGGCATGACGCTGAGTGAGAAGATCTTTGCGCTGCACGATATTGACCGGAGGGGATCCGTAGCACCTGGAGAGTTGATCCGGGTTGATGTCGACTGGGTCATTGCTTCTGAGGCCTCATGGCAGGTACGTGTTCTCATTCAGCACAGAGCTACATATCCAAATGCTTACCGAAAGACTGATAGGGCATGGAACGAACATATGAGCGTCTCGGGAAGCCTGGAATCTACCGGAATGATCGGTTCTGGCTAGCGGGTGATCATGTCGTGGACCCCCGGGTGAATGAAAACCCCAAAGTTAAGGCATTGATTGACGCCAGCGAAAGGGCTAAGCGCGTCTTCAAGATGACCGACTATCAGGGCATGAACGTAGGTCTATTTCAGAGTTGCAAGACTACTGCACCACTTGTGCTTACGGGCTGTAGTATACGATTCTTCATACCGAGTTCTACCGCGAACGAGCTCAGCCGGGCATGGTGGTCGTGGGTTCCGATTCCCATACCTGTTCGTCTGGAGCATTAGGCTGTCTGGCCATTGGGTTGGGAGCAGCCGACGTGACTCTTCCGTTAGTGACGGGAGAGACGTGGTTCAAGGTCCCTGAATCGGTCAACATTCGTCTAGTCGGTGCTCCTAAACCCGGGATTGGTGGGAAGGACACTATTCTGTACATTCTGCAACAGCTGAAGCGGAACACTGTGGCCGCGGATCGGATCGTCGAGTTCACCGGGCCAGGAGTTAAGCATCTTTCTTGCGATGCTCGGTTTGCCATTAGCAACATGACCACAGTCCGTCTATCATCTCGTACAAAGGCCCGAAGAAGTGCTAACGGTCTTAGGAATTTGGCGGAATTACCGGTGTTTTCGTGCCCGATGAAATTACGAACGAATTTATCCAGAAGCGACGCCTGCCCCGACACAAAAACACCAGCGTCTACTTCAAACCCGACGATGATGCCGAGTATGCCGAAACCCATGAGATAGACCTTGGCGAGGTGCGGTCTTTCCTGGCCAAGTATCCAAACCCCGACGATGTCGTTTCTGTCACCGAGCAGGAAGGAATGCATTTGGATGGGTGCTTTATTGGTGCTTGCACCACTGCCGAAGAGGATCTGATTCTCGGGGCTCTTGTGCTGGAACAAGGGCTCCAGCGTGGTATGAAGCCAGTTTCTCAGGGGAAGAGAAAAGTTGTTCCGGGCTCGGTACCTATCCTACACAGACTTCGTGAGCTAGGTCTTGCACGGATCTACGAGGATGCTGGATTTGAGATCGGCATTCCGGGATGCAGTTACTGCGTCGGCATGTCGGCCGACCAGGCTGGGCCGGGAGAAGTCTGGATCTCGTCGCAGAACCGCAACTTTGAGAACCGTATGGGCAAAGGTACGTTGATAACACATGGGCGAAGATGGCGACATAGGCCTAACTGCAATACAAGGGTCCATCGGCAATCTTGCATCCGCTGCCACAGTTGCTGCTTCGTCGTTTGAGATGAAGCTGAAAGACCCGCATGAATTTCTCGAAACCATCGATCTGGAAAGATGGCATACCCTCCGTGGTATTACTGTATCTGCAACAGACTCTACACAAGAACATATTTCCTATATGGAACCTAGTGGCTCCGCGACCGCAGAAACGAAGAACGCCGGCCCGACAGATGTAAAGTCGTCAGAGGTGGATACTTCAGAGACAGCAGACAGCTCTTCATCCGACGTGATGACAGGCAAAGTGCAGCGCCTGGGTGATTTCATCGATACTGATGCCGTATGCTTTCCCCTTCTTTCTAAACCCCGTCACAGCAGCTAATAAGTACCAGCTGGCTCCTGCCCAATTCCTTATCGGCATGTCAGACAATAAGATCGCAGGCCAGCACTGCCTTGAGCACACCCACCCCGAATTTCGCCAGCGCGTCAAAGACGGGTTCAATATTGTCGTGGCAGGCAAAGCATTTGGATGTGGATCGTCCCGCGAACAGGCAGTTATGGCGCTCCTGGGTACGCCTATCCCACACTCCCATAGACAATGTCTTGCTAATACAATTCAATATAGGCTGCGGCGTCCAGTGTGTCATCGCCAAGTCATACTCCTTCATCTTCCAGCGTAACATGCCCAGTCTGGGTCTCTTGGGCATCACTCTGACCGACGAAGCATTTTACGACGTTGCTCAAGATGGCAACGAGATTTCCATCGACTTCAAGACCAAGGTCATCGACGTGGATGGGAAGCAGTTCGGGTTTCAGTTGAGTCAGATGGAGCGGGAGCTCTTTCAGCATGGCGGTATCGCGTCGGCGTTCCAAAAATTTGGAAACCGGCTTTTTGAGCAGATGACCAGACCAAAGAATCTGGGGAGTGCGAAGTCACTTGCGCTGCGTGGAAGTGGGGAGAGTGCTGGCCCGCATGCAGGATTGCAGTGGTAATAGCTTGCTATCGTGGAGATGGTCTTCTGTAAATAAGAAGTAGCTTTACTCTTAGGATATTCGTTATGCATGACAACCGTGTGGCAATAGGGAAGAGCAAGTAACCGAAAGCAGTGGTTTACCACGTAGCTGTGTCAACACCCTCCAGGGGCAGTAAAGATTTCCCCATCCAAGCTAAAAGGCAACAACGCAAGCAACTCTGCATCGACAACATCCTCCAGTGTCAATCCATCTGAACAAGCATCCTCCATTCCCGCCGGAAAATTGGTAGCAGCCTCCTGACCAGCCGAGCCTGTCCCCCGGGCGCTTAGTCCCCCGCGCTGCTCCATAGCCCTATTGTCAGCAAAATATCCCCGACTCGCCAGAGGTGTATTTGTCCCACTGCGAGGCTGTCCACCAAACTGCTCCCGCCACATCCACATGGAATCATGGACTAGACTGGCAGCCAATCGTGTTTTCAGCCTCAAGCCTGGCGGCTTGTCCCGCTGCCCGCGATGGATATTTTGAGCACTCCACAGCTGGGTGAGAATCTTTGACATGCGTCCAGGGAGGTCATTGTCCTCTATAGATATTCGGCGGGTTAGGGCAATGGCAGAGTTGAATGAGCGTTTACCGGTCTCTAGGTCTAGGTACGGGCCGAGGTTCGAATAGCTCAATTTGAGTATGAACATGGCTGCGAGAGAGATGATACGGAAATAGGACACGGGCCCGTAGGCCATGGCGTCGGTGAGAGCTTCGAGTTGGTTGATAATTGTTATGGTGGAGATTGACATGCTGTATGCGCGGATGAGCCCGCGTTTACGCGTGTCGGAGTCGGATTCTTCGAGTAGGTAGAAGACGTAGAGTTGGAGACCGATGCCATTAAGGAGGACTTTGTTCTCCTCTGCGGGCAAGGTTACTAATGATGGGATGGGAGGAGTTGGTGTGTGACAGACCTGATACGTAGCTGGTTAACGTGGACGCCAGTTCGGTGTATTCTCGCTCCAATAGGGCCAGAAGGGAGATGAACTCCCCCGGACGAGGAAGATCCGTTGGGCCCTGTGAGTGACTAGACATGAATTGACCTACACGGGCCGAAAAACGTGATATGAGGAGTTGATGTTTGAGGGACGTGGGGATCATGGTGCTGTCCCGGTCACAAAGCCGATCGATCATCCAGTCTGACGAGACCCATACTTGTCCGTCTATGGTTACGATTCTATGAGGATAGTTGAGTCAGATTGCCATGACAAAACATAAATACAGCAGAGTGTCACCTACGTTTGAGCGGTAATATAGCAGGTCGCCCATGTTCGAGACACTTCGGCCATCTCATCCGGCATTAAACGTCTTTTGGTTCGGGAAAAATCTTGGATGGCTTCTGGTCGATGTAGCCCGATGCGGAGGGAGATAGTCTGCGCGGTGGATAGGAGAATGGAAGTAATATCGGAGGAAAGAGATGAAGTGGGAAATGGCCACAGACAGACTAGGATGATAGCCTGGACGACATGCCAGGTGTGCGGGGGATTGGCGATGGTATCCCATATGAGCTTTTTGACCGGGGCCGTGAGACTGACAAACAAGCCCGGCTCTTCTGTATATCGACGAGTGGCCAGCAGGATGATGGACCAGAATAGTACTGTAGATCGAGCATAATATTGGTTCGGGGAGATGGTTGGATCCAATAAGGGTACGTAGGGGTGATAATGCGTGAAGAAGCTACCGGCATTAGCTTAAGAATAGGTAGCAGGCTGACCGATCTTACATGTTGAACAGAGCATTGACTTGAAACCCATGGAGGTGGACAAACTCCAGCGACCTAGACGAGGTTGGGGACGTCGTGTCGGAAAGTAAAGGCGAGGGTTGACTGGGTTGCTGGGACGGCAAGGAATGAACGGGAGTGGTAGGTTCTACTGGCAAAGGTGGAATTTGGGAAGCCACCAGATCCACTCGTGACCCTGAGGATTCCTGAACGATGATGGAGGAGGTATCGGCATGGTACGATTCGCTGGGGGTGAGGAGAATGCCTTGGAGGGACTGTGGCGCGGCAGCGGGAGGATGAGTGGAGACGGATGAGCGCAGATGCTGAACCTCCTTCTCCAGTTCCTCTAGTCTCCTATAAGGCATCAGAATGTGTGTATTGTAAGCAACGAAGTAGTGCCTCTGCGGCCCAGGGAGGTATACTCTCGCCCGTTGACACGTTGATACGCCACATCAAGCCGGCATTCGTAGCCCAGCCGGCGACATCGGGAGCAGGGGATAGCACCGCCTGTGGATACCTCACATCGAAGCTAGGCCATATCGTCAGCTACGAAGAAGAACCGAGGCGAGCTAGTATCATAACTGACCTTTGACTGGCGACATTGCCTGCAGGCAATCCGCTTACTGCGATGGCGCGGGAAGGGGGACTGGGGCGCGCGTTGGGGTGGCATGTTGAACGACTAGACACCCATTCTCCGAAGAGTAAGCACCAGGAAAACAATCCTGCAGCAGGTGACGTGAGAGGTAACTAGCTAGCTACGGAGTACTATGCTTAGGTCAGGCCCTTCCAGGGGAGAGATAGAGCAAGAGGATGTGTACAGATAGTGAGATATTGAGTTACGACATGTCAGCCTGGCCGGGCTTTGTTTTTCCCTCTTCTGGACATTCCCGTTGGCGGGCCGAATATACCCAAACAGGGTTTAGCGCCATTACGGGCGGCCCGAGGGGTATCTGTCATCATCCCAATCGGGAAGTCCAGGGTTGTTGATTATTCCGGCAACCTTGATTGGACATTGACTTCGATTCAAGAGCTGTTGTTGGGTCGGATGTCAGACGGTTGTGCGACGGAGCAGAGTCGGCCATGCAGATGGGCATATCCGATTGGCTTGATCTGCGTGATAAGGGTAGCTGGCGAGTGCCACAGCCGACTTCGTGCATCTTCGTCTGGATGAAGAAAGCACTACTATGTATGTGTGCTGATGAGTAAAGCATGGCATTTCATATAGCTTATTGTATCAGTTCGACATGATGGAAATAGTGGTAGCTGAAGTCGTTAGTATATGCTTCTGTACTCGGCAGATTACAAAACCCACGTAGATCTCGAGTCATGGTCAACACCCCGCCTGCATCGTACGATAGTGGAGTGAAAACTTTGAGTGTAAGGAAGAGGGTCCTTGTATGATGCTGGGCCATACATACGGCTTCACACTTCTATATGGTCATGCAGTCCTGACGTTAAGGATATGCGGTCAATGCTTAAACGTGCACACATGCCGAAATTCTACGCCGGGTTCGTCTATTCAGTGAACGGTGAATCGTTAGATGGATCTTCTCTGGTCTGATTCAGGGCCAGGTTGCCGCAGGGGCAAGCCCACTTTCCTAGCTTGGTAGCAGCATAAACTCCGCGTCCAAATAGGTTAGACTCATGGCTCATTTACATCCACGACGCGTACTCAGAATGCGAACTACTACTATCTCATTGAACTTGGTAGGGAATTTGCAACTGCCGAGAAGGCTGTCTCATCATGAAACATGGCGAAGCAGGCAGTCGTTCAGCTATCTCCTTTGGGAACGGGCCGCTTGCCTTGCCAAACCAGGTAGTATTTGAATATGATCTGACTATCTAGAAATTTCATACCCTAAGCGAATGCGTTCCCTAGCCCATATCTGGAAAAAATCAAGAGAGAGTGGGACGAAACGTAATCGTTAATTCTTTCCATGATGTAGTCGGCGAATATTCGGGGAATCCCCGCAACTCAGGGCCTGATGCCAAACCCGCCCGGGAAAGAGATCTGAGTGCGATGATGCCGTGCTTGTGGAGACGGACGGGAAGCCGAACAGTCCCTGGACCCTATGCCGTAGGGCACAGTCCACATTAAGCATGGAAGCAACGCATGTTCCATTTCCAGGCAAACCACGTCCAAAGCTACCAATACTGCATGTCTACACTGGACAAAATGAACTGTCAAGACAGGGTGAAACGCGTCAGCAGAACTCTAGTTCTGAGACATCAATTTGTGTGCCGTCCGCCGTGCTTGGGGAAGTCCTCCACGGGCAAGAGGTGGTGAGGCCGTTTAGAGAAAACTGGTACGGAGAAGTTGCGTTATCCATGGATCGTCATGAGCAGGGCATGATTTCTCCTCTCTTGTATGAAAAATTCATTACATTGAATAGACAATGATCGTCGCGGTCTGATTCTATAAAGAACACGCCGTGCCCCAGTCACAGCTGACAGTAAAACCAACTTCTTCACTAAGTCATTCGCTCGTTTTTCATTCATTCACTTTTCGACACATTTTGAAAATGTTCACCAAATTGTCACTCCTTTCGCTTCTTTTCAGCTCTGCTGCGCTGGGCGCCTCCAACCAGACTCTTTCCTATGGCAACATTGACAAGTCTGCCACCCCCGGCGCCAGAGCGCTCCTGAAGTACATCCAGCTTCAGTATGGATCGCACTACATATCCGGACAGCAGGATGTCGACAGCTGGAACTGGGTCGAGAAGAACATTGGTGTGGCCCCTGCCATCCTCGGCAGCGACTTCACCTACTACTCGCCTTCGGCTGTTGCCCACGGCGGCAAGTCTCACGCGGTCGAGGATGTAATCCAGCACGCTGGTCGCAATGGAATCAATGCCCTGGTTTGGCATTGGTACGCTCCCACCTGTCTGCTCGATACCGAAAAAGAGCCGTGGTACAAGGGATTCTACACCGAGGCCACCTGCTTCAACGTGTCTGAAGCCGTCAACGACCATGGCAACGGCACCAACTACAAGCTTCTGCTGCGTGATATTGACGCCATTGCTGCTCAGATCAAGCGCCTGGATCAGGCCAACGTGCCCATTCTCTTCCGTCCGCTCCACGAGCCCGAGGGTGGCTGGTTCTGGTGGGGTGCCCAGGGTCCTGCTCCCTTCAAGAAACTGTGGGATATCCTCTACGACCGCATCACTCGCTACCACAACCTCCACAACTTGGTCTGGGTTTGCAACACGGCTGATCCGGCCTGGTATCCCGGAAACGACAAATGCGACATCGCCACCATCGACCACTATCCCGCCGTTGGTGACCACGGAGTCGCGGCTGACCAGTACAAGAAGCTCCAGACGTTGACCAAGA